TTGATGGGTTTAAGTTACAGACTCAAGTTTTACATCAGTTAAGAATCTCCTCTTGCGGACAGGCCAGGGACACAATGAGTCAAAAGAAGAATCTGTCTTGAATTACTGTTTATGATCCAGTCCCTTTTCCAGGAAGCTCAGTTACCTAGATGTAGGATAAGCATTTGTCTTTTCTTTGAATCTTTTCTCTTTCCATTTCTGATCTTCTGCATCATAGGATGTCACTTCAAGTTAATCTTCCAAATGACAGCTTTATATTATATAAATATGCATGTCAACTCATTACTGTCCAGTTGGAACTGACTCATAGTCACGCCAGTTTATTTTCAGAGGCTGTAAATCACGAGATTGTCCATCTTTATTCTGTGGAGCAGCTAGTGGTTTCAAACCACCACCGATGCCACCTTTGGGTTAGCACCACAATTCCCTACAGACTATGCCACCAGAGCGTCCCAATGCATTTGTATATGCAGTAAATGTGTATATATGTATACAATTATATACTATTTGTTTTGTTTTGCTCACTACTTTCCTATGCTAATAGTAAATCCAAAGTTAATTTTCTGTTTTCAAGATTACTTTAGGCAGTTATATTAATTCCTTTTCAGCTAGTTTCTGTAGCTCAGATATTCTCATTTGTCCTTTTTTTTTAAAAAAAAAAGCCAGTAGGTACTCCTGTTGTTATTAAGTGCTGTCAAGTTGTAGGTGACTCATAGCAACCCTATGAAAGGCCTCGCTTGACACTTGTGTGACTTTCATCCTTTCTCCAGGTTCATAGGGTTTCCTAAGGCAAGCTATTACGGAAGTGGATACCACTCCTGCTTCCCAGCTTGTTTTAATGGGGGAGCTCCACCAAACACTGTCCATTATGGGTAACTATTAGCGCATTTGACACACCAGTATCACAGTGTTCAGCTTCACAGCCACCAAGTTACCTCTGTACAGCAAGTGGACAGACCAGGGCTATACAACCTAGAATATTTGACCAAAAACCCTAGATGTTTTAAAACAGTTGCTTTTTCTTTATAGTAAATCTTTTCCCATAGGATACTGTTCTATATTTATGTTCTTTAATACTGTCTTTTTTCCTTTACAATACCAAATCTCAACACAAGCCTCATTTATATTTGCTGGGTTTTTTTCCCCAGCTACTCTCCTCTAAATATGGAGCCTCTACGGGTAGCCCTATCCAAGCTTCATGTTTGCCCTTTAAAAAGTGAATCTTCCCAAAACACTCTTTAAAATCCAGTAGCTGTGAAAACTAGGCCAGGAGCTGATTGTGGAACAGACCACCAACTACTCATATGCAAGTCCAAGCTGAAGCTGAGGAAAATTAAACCGAATCCACAGGAGCCAAAATATGAGTTGGAGTTCATCCCACCTGAATTTCAGAATCATCTCAGGAACAGGTTTGAGGCCTTGAACACTAATGAGCGAAGACCAGATGAGTTGTGGGAGGATGTCAAATGTATCATCCAGGAAGAGTGCAAACGGTCATTACAAAGACAGAAGAGGAAGAAAAGACCAAAATGGATGTCAGAAGAAACTCTGAAGATTGCACTGGAGTGCAGAGAAGCCAAAGCACAAGGAAGAATTCAAGATACTAAAGAGCTGAACAGAAGATTCCAAAAGGCAGCACGGGACGACTAAGCAAAATATTACAATGAAATGTGCAAGGAGCTGGAGTCAGAAAATCAAAAGGGCCGAACTTGTTCAGCAGTTCTTAAGCTCAAGAAACTGAAGAACAAATTCAAATCTCGAGTTGCTATAATCAAGGATGCTTTAGGCAGAATATTAAATGACCCAGGAAGTATTAAAAGATGGAAAGAATATACTGAGCCACTGTATCAAAAGGAATTGGCAGACACAGAAGAATTTCATGAAACAACATATGAACAAGAGCCTATGGTGATGAAGGACGAAGTACAAGCTGCTTTGAAAGAAATAGCAAAAATAAGACCCCAGAAATAGATGGTATACCAATTGACGTATTTCAGCGAACAGATGCTGCCCTGGACATGCTCACCAAGTTGTGCCAAGAAATCAGGAGAACAACCACTTGGCCAACTAACTGGAAGAGATCTATATTTGTTCCCATTCCAAAGAAGGGTGACCCAACAGAGTGTGGAAACTATAGAACAATAGCATTGATTTTACATGCAAGCAAGACTCTCCTGAAAATTATCCAAAAATGGCTGGAACAGCACATCAGTTGAGAACAGCCAGAAGTATTAGATGGATCTTAGCTGAGAGCAGGGACTACCAGAAGAATATTTATCTGTGTTTCATTGATTATGCAAAGGCGTTTGACTGTGTGGATCTTAACAAACTGTGGCTAACTCTGAGAAGAATGGGAATCCCAGAATATTTAATCGTGCTAATGCAAGACCAAGAGGCAGTCATCAGAACAGAGCAGGGTAAGACTGCATGGTTCAAAATTGGGAAGAGTGTACGCTAGGGATGTGTCCTATCGCCATACCTTTTCAACCTGTATGCAGAGTAGATTATCTGAGAGGCTGGGCTCTATGAGAAGTATTGGAGTCAGGACTGGCGGAAGCTCTATTAACAATCTGTGTTACAGATGACACAACCCTGCTTGCTGAAACTGAGGAGGACCTCATGCACTTGATGCAGAGGGTCAAGGACTGAAGCCTTCAGTATGGATTCAGGCTCAATGTCAAGAAGACAAAGATTCTCACCACTGGACCAATTGGCAGCATCAGGATGGATGGTGAAGATATTGAGATTGTTCACAGCTTTAGTCTGCTTGGCTCCATAGTCAACACTCTTGGCACCAGCATACAGGAAATTAAAAGCCTTATTGCCATGGGAAAGTCTGCTGTTAGGGACCTCTCCAAAGTACTGAAGAGCAATGGTGTCACTCTGGAGAGTAAGGTGCATCTGATACAGGCTATGATCTTTGCAATCACTTGTTATGCATCACAGAGTTGGACAATGATTAGGAAGGAGAATGGATGCCTTTGAGCTGTGGTGCTGCAGAAGACTATTGAATGTACCGTGGACTACCAAGAAAACAAACAGATTCATCCCGCAGAGGGTTAAATCAGGCTGCTCCTTGAAGACAAGCATTCTGAGGCTTTGTCTAACATACTTTGGACATGTTGTAAGGAGGGACAGGTCCTTGGAGAGGGACATCATGCTTGGGAGGGTAGAGGGAGGCCGCAAGAGGGCAAGACCCTCTAGAAGGTGTATTGATAATTGCAATGGGTGTGTTAGAGGCAGTGCGACTGGCACAGGAAAGAGCAGGGTTTAGGGCTGTTGTACATAGGGTCGCTATGAGTTGCAAGTGACTCGATGGCACATAACAACAGTTGTAGACCCTCTTCTCTCACTCACCCCACACACACTTCCACACTCAGAGGCTGGCTTTTGATCTGCACAGCTTTTGAACCTGCTGTTCTTCTTTTAAATGTGGCTCTCCCAAACCTATCACATGCTCCCTATTGCAGGATGTTTCTTCCTACATAGTCTGATCTGTGGTTCTCTCCTTATCAATCTTAAGGAAACTATAATTCCTAGCACTATCTGCTTCCATGGCTTTTTCAGGATCCGTCCTGATGAAAAGTGTTGCCATAGCCACTCCCATTCCTAATCATTCAGAGTGCTGAGAATGGTGGCTTGAGAATTAGTGAAAGAGGCGAGGCCACTTTGACTGCTGCAGAAAACAACTGCTGGAGCTTCATCCAGGCAAAATAAACAAAGGTGTATATCCACTTAACAAACAGTGCAGAAGCACTCCTTCACTATTAATCTCACAACAGCTCAATCAAGTAAGTAGATGAAAAACTGACACTCCAAGATGGGACAAAGACCAGCATTTATTGTACAGTGTGAAAACCTGCTCAGAGGGTTAGCTATCAGTCAGGAATGAGGGTGAATAAAATGTGGTCGCCATCACGATTCCATTTACAAATGAGAAAATTGAGGCTGAGAGCTTTAAGCTATCTGCCAAGGTCATCAGGCAGGCAAAAGGCTAAATGGAGACTTGACCAGTTTGCATCTTGGCCAGGCGGTGCTCATCACACTCACTCTCAACACACGTGCAAACTCTCACTCCAGCTGGGACCAGATTTCAGGCCTTATAAAGTTCACCACGGGGTTCTGCAGACACATTTCTGAATGGATACACGTTTTTGAAATAAGGAAAATGCTTTGATTTCTTTCAGAATACCTTCATTAATGTACCTTGCACAAAGCTTCCAAAACTTATGATCAACAAAACCAAGTTTTCTCAAGGAGGCATTAAAAAACTGTCTCTCCTCATCCCATCCTTAACTAACCAATAACAGTGAATAAATGTGATCTAGAAAACAGAGACAGCCAACTGAAGTGATAGGGGACTTGATTTTTTAAAAAGAGGGGAAAAGAAAGCAAAAAGGAGGTCATTTTTAGCATTTATTTTTAATAACCCGTTCACAGTTTGTGGTTCTGTAAAAATAGTTATTCTGGGTTCATGATTTAATTAGCATCCCTAATGATAAGATTCTATCTACTACAGTACTGTGTGATATCAACTATGGCTAACTCTGCAAAAAGCACTGCAGAAAATTCTGGGCAAAGATATTACTGACAAAGACAAAGGTTCAGAAATTTTCCACACACTAACAATCACTAACAGGTCAATAGCCTTTAGATACTTACTATAAAGAACTTTTGTCCCAAGTTGAACTACACCTCACCATATTAATACAATCTGTTGACATCAGTGGCTTTTAAAAAAAATTTATCTACATCTTAAAATGTTCAAATAACACAATACTCCCACCTAGTGGATAAAAGGAAACCATCTAGCTTATGTCAGTGTGGTCAATACCAATGTAAAAAAAAATTAAACTACAATGAATTTAAAATAAATTTATTCTATTTTTGAGTCCCCCACAAAACAAAAACAAAAACAAAAACAAAAATAGTGCACACTGCTCCCCTCCCAAGCCTCAAAGGATGAGTGTGTAAGATACATTAAAAAATGATCACTGGACTCATGTGTAAATGTTACTCTGAACCTCATTTGTTGTCATCAGTTTCTTCAGCATCTCCATGCTCTGGGGAATATTCTGGAAAGAGAGGAAAAGGTTTTTCAGAATTCTGTAAGATCACGAATTAAGTCTTAAAGCTAAAAGAAAAGAACAGCCCAAACATAAAGTTGCACTGCCTTTTTCATCTCTTTCAAACAAAAATGCAAGTATGTAATCCTTTAAATAAGTGTGTCTTTCCTTTGTTTGAAGCTCTCTGAATCTGACTCACATTAACTACCTTGGCCTCTCTGCCACATTAGTGTTCCCTAATACAGCACTCACCACTGTTCTCACACAGACCTTGAATGTGCTCACACAGCTTCTTTCCTCTTCACATTCTCATCCACTAAGCCACACCTGAAAGGACCCTGAAGGTGTGTTGGCTGGGCTGCTAAGAAGCCAGTGGTTCAAATCCATCAGTCACTCCATGAGAGAAAAGATGAAGCAGTCTCTTCCCATGAAGTTTTACAGCATCAGAACCCAATGGAGGGTCCCTATGAATCATATTGACTCAACAGCAGGATTTTAAGACTTAATGAAGCATTGGTTGTACAATGGTTAAGTGCTTCTCTGCTAACCAAAAGGGCAATACTTGGAACCCATAAGAAGACAGTCTGCTTCTTTAAAGATGTACAGCCTTGGAAGCCCTGTAAGGGAATTCAAACTTGTCCAATATAGGGTTGCTATGAGGTGGAATCAATAGCAATGGGTTTCATTATTCAACACTAGCAAAACTGTTACTTTCTCCATGAATCCTTCCTACAGAATTAATCCGTGACTAATGGGCTGAGATGTGCTGAGCCTCCTATCATGAACTGCCCCCCATTACAATCCGCAGCACTACCTAGAGACTGTGGAGCCAACGCACCTCCGGACTGCCATGGACTCACCAGCACTGGGGTGTCCATGCAGAAGGTGCTTAAGACAGTTCTATTGTGATGAGAAAATATCACTTTTAAACTGAAAGAAGCTAAGAACTAACAGAGGATGACTATATCTAATCATTAAGCAAAAGAGCCATTTTATTAAGTGAATGAAGGAAGTGTGAAACACAATGTAAACAAATTAAACACACATACGTCATTTAACCTTCCCACAAATAATTATGTTCAAAACAATAAATGAAAAGGTTAAAAAGTTATTTAAATCTTCCCTTCAAAGACTATTCTTTTTCTTGTTTGTTGTTTTTATTTTTTATTGATACTTTAATGAGAGTTGACAAAAAACTTGGATTTCCATTTATTCCATTTATTCACTGTTGCACATTTTTAAATATTATTCTTAAAGCATGAAAAGTTACTTAAAATATCTCTGACATGATAGAAACATTTGGAAATGGGTAAGGATTATGACTATGTGTTTATTTATCGCAATTTAAATAAAAAGAAAAACACCCTACAGGAAAAATAACTTAACAATGCTCAGAGTAAATGCTTCGTACTGAGCACAATATCCAGGGCTGGGAAGAAAGCAATGAACTCTAGTCTCTGCCCACAAGGAATTTCTTTGTACACTTAGATAAGCCTATCAGTTAATGATATAAAAACTCACTGCCATCCAGTCAGAACCAACACAGAGCCGACCCTCTAGCTTGTTTTGGAAGGCAGCAAATCACACAGGAAAAGATCACCCATGTCTCTACCATGGAGCCACTGGTAGATTCTAACTACCTGAAAAGCAAAACCTTTGGGTTAACAGCACAAGTCCCTGTGAACTACACTAGCAGAGTTCCCTGTAACATATAAGCAAACAAAATTACTAATATATAAAAGAACTCAGTTTGCCAGAAAAAAATTAATCATGATTCTGGCTAATTTGAAAGATGTATTTGAAACATATGAAATTCTGGAGTTTTAGTTTTACTCTTTATTCATTCAAAAAAAGTGGTTACTGAAGGCTTTCTTCTACACGTCCAATAAATAATTAAATGGGAATACCAAAATTTGAAAATATATTCTCCATTCTCACAAAGCACTGACTAGTAAGGAAACTAACTTAAACCTGTGAAATGGGCGCCAATAGACCTTAACAGAAAAAGTTTCCTTACCATTGGCAGTCATTCCACAATCAAATGGGTACAGAACAATGTTGTTATAATCTATTTCCTTTAAGGAAGAAGTTCTTAAGCTGGAGGCCCAAGGACTTTCCGTAAACCTCTTAAGGGGAAAAGGGGAGTCTCTAAACTACCTGAAATTATAGGCAAAACATTTTGTGTATGTGTTCCCTGATATATTTTTCTGGGAAAAGAGCAGTCAGATATTTATAAACCAAGGGTAGGCCAAGGTTTACTATATAATTCATTCCTCTTCACATATCGGGTTCCATGCAAAAGCACTATGCTCTAAAATGCCTTCTCAAAAATTACAAATTTCCAAATTACTTAAGTTACTGAAGGGTCGCTATGAGTCGCAGGCGACTCGACGGCACATAACAACAACAACAACATGTAAACATTTAGGATTTAATTGCATTGCATTAATCTATTACACACTAATAAAACATTCAGCAGGTTACAAAGAAACTACACCACAGAACAGTAACAATCAAATTCAAACCAGAAAGTATTACACTTTAAGCAGAAAGGATTTCCAAGTGTGGTTGTTTAAAATAGATACCACACATTTATATTTGCTACTAAGCTCATTATAATACAGCTATTAATTCAAAACAGTAAAAAACTTACCTTAGCCAAACCTTTCAAACTTTTGGAAGAAAGCAGAGGCTTAAAAGCTTCTACTGTAATAGGATCTAGTTTCATGACATCAGTATAACACAAGTATAGAATGGCAGGAATTTGCCACACTTGACAGTAACTTAGAACTATGGAAACACAAAGGGGGGAAAAACTCACTTAAATTTTCTACTGATTCATATTATTTCTACTGTTGTTCTTATATGCCATTGTGTTGCCTAAAGACTCATCGTGACCCTATGTACAAGAGCCCTAAACCCTGCTATATCCTATGCCAATCTCACTGTCTCTGACACACCTACTCCTCCCCTCCCCCATTACCCCAGTCACTGAATGAATCCACCTCATAGAGGGTCTGCCTCTTCCACACTGTCCCTTTACCCTCCCAAGCGTGATGTCCCTCTCCAAGGACTGATCCCTCCTTGCAACATGCCCCAAGTATGTCAGACGAAGCCTCAGAATCCTTGCCTACAAGGAGCACCCGGTCTCACCCTCTCTAGAACAAACCTGTTGGTTTTCTTAGCAGTCCATGGTATATTCTATACTCTTCTCCACCTCCACAGCTCAAAGCATCAATTCACCTTCTATCATTCCTAATCATAGACTTTTAAAAAAATATTATAATAATAAAGGCTAACTGGAGAAATAGCACAGAAGAGGAAGATCCTGAATGAGATAAATTGATGCAGCAGCTGGGGTTATGGGTACAGGTGTGTCAGAATCAGTGAGAATGGCTCAGAACAGAGCAGGGACATTATGAGTTGCAGGTTACTCAATGGCATGTAACAACAACAATATGAAAAATAATCAAGTCTCTACTGCTCTCATAATTAAGGTAATCATTTCCATTTCAAACTAATCTAGAATTTGTATTTTTTTCCAAACCCATTTAATTTCCTAAGTAATCTCTTGTAAATATTATCTTATTTGCATTTACTTACATAATGCTGAGACACAAGTAGCTAAAATATTTAAATTTGTTAACTAAATGATATGCAGTAATGACTAATAAATGATATGCAATAAGTACATAATGCATAATGCAAAATATTTAGCCAATTGTAATATTTACAAGGAAAAAAACCCTTTCTTTAATACAGTTTAATTATTATTAATTCTATATTAACTGTTAAATAGTAGTATGTAGTAAATAGATATGGATATCTATTTCTGACATGATATTAGACTATAATTAGTAAAAAAAATAAAATATTAAAGCAACTACCAACTATTTTGATAATTTAGATTTCCTTTACACACTTTTGTGTATCAATAGTTTACATCTAATACTGGTTTGGATTTGAGTTATCAAAGTCCAAGAAGAAGAAAGCAACTCTGCAGTGTAATAGTTGATAAACATGAGATGCTCTTTTAAAAAACTCAGGAAAGTTTTAAAACTCAAATCAAATACAATGTACTAATAGCAAAATACATCAAGAATTAATACATTGGGTATCAATCATCATTAACACATTACCTCAAAAAGATCAATATAGTAATTAAAATAGTAAATAAGAATCAATGGTTAGTAATCACAAAACACGATGTAAATGTGAGGTACTTCAGTACTACCTGCTGCAGGAAGATCATGGACAATATTTGGCTGTTCTAGCAGTGAACAGCAAGTTGGATCTTTAAAATTCTGTGTTTTCAAGGCTCTCAAGAAAGGAGACGGCAGGCTGCACGTAGATTCTGAAGTTTTATAGTCGGTGATATGTCGACATGTGAGAATGGTTACCTGCATTTTCTTCTTTGGACAAGGACCAAAAACCTAACAAAAATTATTTCAAATTAAAAAAAAAAAATTTAACAAACATATACTTTCATGGAAGACTATAGACATTCTCCTAGTAATTTACCTAAAACAATAAAAGTGCTTTCATTCTGTGCACATGACCAAGTGTTCCTGTGGTCACAGGACATATGCTTTGCTGTCTCCATGGCCTGCTCATGACCTTGGCTCTATTATCATTTCTACTCACATGATCTCCAAGTCACTTTCTTCCTCTGATTAAGACTAACAGCACTAATAACCACTAGGGCTGCAATCTGAATTAAACATCACAACACACAAGGACCCAGAGCATTTATCTATCAAAATGACCAAGTTATTTAACTAGACTTACATCCCTGTGACTGGATGCTCACTCACTCTCCCATCCACCAGTGCTGTCTGAAAACGATTCTCATTACCTTACAGGTTTATTTGTGGTGGGCGTTTCTAAGTTTCTAAGAGGCATCCATTTCCTGAATAACATGCCTCTTGAAACTCTATGAACTTTGATAAATGTCAATAGTTACAGAAAGACTTCAGGCCTTTTGTTCATAGCGTTGCTAAGAGTTGTACTCAATGGCAATCAACAACAACAAAATGATAAAAGGTGAGTTCCCATTACCCTAAACACTAATAATATTCTCATTTCTAATTTGATTGAAAATTTTTAGATTAGCTGGATTACCTAGAAGTTTCCAGGTTGGAAACCTACATAAAAAGATAAATCTACATATTGCTAAGATATATGCACACAAGGCCTCAGACCTTAAAATATAATGCATTTAAAAATAAAATGCAAGTGCCAAAATCACAATTTTCTAAAACTACAAGCTAAGTGAAATTTTCCCTAAAAAACTTGTTTTGCTGAACTATTTGCCGAATTATCTCACAAAATTAAGATTCAATCTGTTTCTCCATAATGAAAAGAAAAATGGCTATAAGAAAGGTACAGAGAAGCTTTTAGGATGAGTGGGAAACACCTAATTTCCCTGAACAAAGCCTACCTATAGGGCCATCAGCCTACAGTTCAATTTCCCACACTTGGCTTTAACACTCCTATGTTTATGTTCTAAATTCATGGGCTTAGATCAAGCAAGCCGTAATAGAAGATTGGCACTGTACCCCTACCTGCGCCATCTCCCTCAGGTACAACCCCCGACCCTTCGACTTCCGCAAGGCCTGGCTCAAAGCTCATGGGCTTAGAGCAAACAAGCAATGACAAAAAAAAAGAAAGCATATTTTACGTGGGTAATTTATTTCTCTTTCAAGCAAAATAACAATCTATCAGGTGGGAGGAATGTAACTATGTTTTAGGTTTCTTCCTGTAAATCTTGGAAAAGTGTGTGGTCAGGAGAGAGAGACAAAGTCAATGAGACAGACTGACCAAGTTAGTGACTGTTACAATGGGCGCAAGCAGAGCACAGACTGTGAAGATGGTACAGGATCAAGCAAGTTTTCAATCCTTCAAACACAGGGTGACTCCGTTGGGAATCAGAGTCAACTCAACAGCACATAACAACTAATCTCTCCAGAAGCTAAATGGCTCATGTTAACTATGCCCCTAAGCTGTAGAATTTGCTTCCATGATTAATTTAATGAATGTAATCAGCTCTGTAATCACCCTACAGTGCTGATTACATTTACTAAACTGGTCATGGAAACAAATCCTTTTCATTCCATCTGTTCTATAACAAAGTCCTACCATATCTGAGAATAAATAATACTTCCATTCCTTGCTCCAATTATTAGACTGCATGGGTTTACATGGAAAGATCTTGATCCCTTTATAACAGCAGCTGCAGCTGCTGGAGACAAACTTTTCACAGCTCTTCATTTATTTTTACCTTTTCCAGCCACTGATACTGCTGATCTTCTGCAACATAGCAACTGCACTGACAAAGTAAAACCTGAAAAATAAAGTTCAGAATTTTGTGTTGAGCCAGGTAACTTTAAAGCACACCCCAAACAGAAATTCAACTTCTCTCAACTCTAGAAATTCTGGTGACCTGGAGGTTAAATGAAGCAGTGAAACTACTGTCCTTAGATAATCTTTACTAATAACCAAGATCTTACTCCTTGGTGGCAAGGATGGTGGAGCTCTGTCTTACATGTTCTGGGCATGTTGTCAGGAGGGGCTAGTCCTTGGAAAAGGATTATCATGCTTGGAAAGGTAGAGGGTCAGGAAAGGAGGGGAAGACCCCCCAAACAAGATATATTAACATAGTGACTGTAACAATGGGTTCAAGTATGTCGGAGATGATGAAAATGGCACAGGATTGGGCAGGGTACAGATCCACTGTTCACAGGGTTGGGTCGTTGACTTGACAGCACCTAACGATAGTAACAACAACCATAATATATATAAAAAATGTAAAATACTGTAAAGCTAGGATCTGCCATGGGTTAGTTTTAACTCAATGGCACATAACAACAAGAAGCATCATAGTAAATGATCTCCGAAAACACTGAGGATGTTTATGCAGCCAGGCATTACCACTGAATTGGAACCAACTCATAGTTGACCCTCCAATAGGTTCCCAAAGGGGTAAATCATATAGGAGGAAGACTGCCTGTCATTCTTCCACAGAGCCACTGGTGGATACAAACAGCCAGAGAAGCTCAGCCTTTAGGTTAGGAGCACAACTCACCATAGAATAAACCGCCAGAGCTCCCCGATTTCCTAAAACACTGATGATGCCTCTGATGACCATATTATTTTAGAAACCAAGTTCCAGACCACGGCCTTGAATAAGCTTTCTTTCACTGCTGTCAAACTGGAACTGATCCAGTAGAACTACAATGGAGTCTCAAGGCTATAAATCACACAAGAGGAGAGTGTGCATCTTTCTCCACTGCTGGAGAAAGCCACACTAGTGGACCTAAGGCAGGCATCACCTTTGGGTTTTCAGTGCAGCTCTTCCCTATATACTACATCACCAGAGCTCCCAGCCTGAACCACAGAAAGTTAAGTCATTTACAATGCCTCACTGTCATAAAAGGATTTTAAAAAAAAAAAAATCTAATTCCACTGCCATTGGGTCAATTCTAATGAATGGTGACTTTGCAATGGGTTTTTGGGTGATGTCAAATACGTTAATGGTTACCCATGATGGAAGTGTTTGGTGGAGCTACCCGTTTAAATCAAGCTTGGAAGCCGGAGTGGCATCCACTTCCATAAATAACTTGCCTTCAGAAACGCTATGAACCTGGAGAGAGGATGAAAGTCACACAAGTGTCAAGGACTTTCGTTCATAGGGTCGCTATGAGTTACCTACTACTCCACAGCACTTAACAACAATAACATCAACATAGGGAGAGATCAGTTGGCTTAGTGGACAGAAAGTGATGCTACCAAGCCAAAGGAGGGTAACTTTTAATCTGTGGACCTAAGGCCTGTTTTTTCATTGTTTTTGTTCAAACATTCTTCTAAGTCGTATAGCCCTGGTGTGTCCACCTGCCATACAGTGGTAACTTGTGGTTGCTATGAAGCTGCTATGACACTGAGGTGGTGTCAAATGTGTTAATGGTTACCGATGGCGGACAGTGTTTGGTGGTGCTCTCTTGGAAAAAGGAGTGGCATCCTCTTCCATAATAGCTTACCTTTGGAAACCCTATGAACTTGGAGAAAGGATGAAAGTCACACACGTTTTGAGGACTTTCGTTCATAGGGTCACTATTGAGTCACCTACGACTTGACGACACTTAACAACAACAACAACAATCTTTATGAAAAGAGACTGACAATCTTTCTCTCGCAAAACAGCTGATGGGTTCAAACTGCCGCCCCTTCGGCAACATAAGGCACTATGCCACCTGGACTCCTCTAACAGGAAGGAGGGCCCTTATTAATAAAGATAGTATCCACAAAAGTCAACAACATCTTCCACTGCCAGAAGCTCTAATAAAGACAAAAAGAAAGCACAGAAAGGAAAAAAGGTTATAGAAGAAAGTAGGACACAGAGTAGGTTCTGAGCAATCAAGTGCTTTCTAATAAATATCAAAAATCAAACACAACAGAAATTTCTAGTGGTCATTCTTCATTATTCATTCTAAAACAAATTCTTTCTACTAAAGATTAGCTACAAAAACATGTATGTTGTTGTTTCTGTGTACTGTTGCGTCAGAACCAACACAGCTGACCCTTTGGTAGGTTTTCAGAGGCAGCTGATCTCAAAATCCTTTTCCTGTGAAGCAGCTGGAGGATTCGAACTACATGCCTTTGGGACTGCAGTGCAGCTATCAGAGTTCCACAAAAACATATATAGCAAAATAAAAACAAAGTATGTATCATTCCCTTATTAAGTTCTTACTAAGAAATAAAAACTTTAAAGTTAAAAACAGTTAAAAATGGGTTACATGCTATAGAAACAACCTGTGAATATTAGAAAAGCCAACCATGGGGTTGACTTATAACCACAGTGTCACACAATGTACAATCTGTGGGTAGAAGGAAAGGTAAAGGCAATGGGAAGGATCTGGTGTTAAAAACAATGTACACAAATTTTATAAGCAAACCACTACAAAATATAAATTTTAGTTAAAAAATAAGTCAACCATATTTACCACTAAAATACTGCAAGAAGCTCTAAGTGCTATTTTTGAGGCTAACATTTAATCTTTATCGATATAATATCATGGAATGTATGTCGTTGTTGTTGTTATGTGCCGTGGAGTCGTTTGCGACTCATAGCAACCCTATGTACAACAGCCCTAAACCGTGCTCTATCCTGTGCCAATCTCATTGCCTCTGACACACCCATCCCGAGTACCCCAGTCACTGAATCAATCCACCTCATAGAGGGTTCTCCCCTCCTGCGCTGTCCCTCCACTCTACCCAGCATGATGTCCCTCTGTAAAGACCTGTCTCTCCTTACAACATGTCCAAAGTATGTCAGACGAAGCCCCAGAATTCTTGCCTCCAAGGAGCAGCCTGGTTTAATCCTCTCTACGATGAATCTGTTTGTTTTCTTGGCAGTCCATGGTACATTCAATACTCTTCTCCAGCACCAGAGCTCAAAGGCGTCAATTCTCCTTCTATCCTCCCTAGTCATTGTCCAACTCTCTGATGCATAACAAGTGATTGTATCAGGTGCACCTTAGTCTCCAGAGAGACACTGTTGCTCTTCATTATTTTGGAGAGGTCCCTAACCGCAGACTTTCCCATCGCAATACGTTTTTTTATTTCCTGGATACTGGTGCCAAGAGTGTTGACCATGGAGCCAAGCAAACTGAAGCTGTGAACAATCTCAATCTCTTCGCCATCCATCCTGATGCTACCAATTGGTCCAGTGGTGAGAATTTTTGTCTTCTTAACATTGAGCCTCAGTCCATACTGAAGGCTGCAGTCCTTGACCCTCTGCATTAAGTGCATGAGGTCCTCCTCAGTTTCAGCGAGCAAGGTTGTGTCATCTGCATAATGCAGATTGTTGATAGATCGTCCACCAGTCCTAACGCCACGCCTCTCCTCATAGAGCACCGCCTCTCAGATAATCTGCTCTGCATACAGGTTGTATAGTATAAAAGAAATCTATTTCACTGATTTCCTCCACTGTTTGAGTCCCTTTACCACAGTCTTAATGAATAAGGAGTAGGGCTATCAGATAAGCAAATGGGTGCTCAGGAGTGACCTGCTGGCCACCTCACTTGTTTGACAAGTCTCCCAAATTATGCACTGTCATATTCTCTGAATGAACCAAGACTAAGATAATATATGCAAGCCAATAAAATCAAGCAGTATTAACAACTTACAAAAATGGGACAGTTTAGATTAAGATAGAACCTTGATATCAACAGACTGATGTTTACAATGCATAATGCACCCATTTATCTGACAAATACTGCATCTTTAATACAAACTTGTCACTAGCTAAACTCAGTTTGTTGGTTTTGTTCACTGCTGTCAAGCTGGAAGCAACTCACAGCTGACCCTCCAGTGGGTTTTCAGAAGCTATAAATCACACAGAAGACTGTCTTGTCTTTCTACCAGAAAGCAGCTGAAGGATTCTAACACCTTCCTTTGGGTTGGCAGAGTCATTTTATATACCCACAAGGTCATCAGAGCTCCAAATACTGGAGTGATAACTAGAAAACAGAACTCCCTCTCATACAGTAAATACATTTTTCATGTTTAGAGTTACCTACTAAAAGAATTTTCTCAACTAGGGCTAGCTTTAAATTACTAATGTTTACAGTTTGTTTGTTTGTTACAAAGTTATTTCAATATTTAAAAGAACTTTAAATCAAACTCAAATTTATCAAATGGGAACTGATACAGATGGCCCTCCAGCAGGTTTGTAGAGGCTGTAAATGGCACAGGAAGAGACTGGCCATCTTTCTCCTAAAGAGACAGTGGTGAATTCAAACTGCCAGAGAGGCATCACTGTTAGGTTAACAGCATTAGACTGCCAGAGTTCCCAAACTTTAAACAGTACATCTTATGTCCCAATAGATGACATACCCTTGCTTGCTGAAGGCAAGGATTACTTGAAGCACTTAATGCAGAAAGATCAAGGACTGCAGCCTTCAATATGGATTGCATCTAAACATCAAGAAGACAAAAATCCTCACCAAGGACCAATACACAATATCATGACAGACAGAGAAAAGTTTGAAGTTGTTAAGGACTTTATCTTACTAGATCCACAAACATCATTGGTACCAGCAGTCAGATCAGGAGACATATTACATTGAAAAGCTTGCTGTCAGGGACTTCTCCAAAGTCATGAGAGCAATGATGTCAGTTTAAAGACCAACATGTGCTTGATTTAAGCCCTATCTTTTAAATTACCTGCTATACATTTGAACGCTGGACAATGAATAAGGATGGCACAAGAATTGATGCCACTGAGTCGTGTTGAAGAAGAGTACTGAATCTTATAGACTGATCAAGGAACAGGATAGAACAGGGTTCAGGTATTTTGTTCATAGGGTTGCTATGAGTCATACTCAACTCAATAGCACCTAATAACAAACTAACAGCCCAAAGAACAAACAGATATGTCTTGGAGAAAGTGCAGCCCCAGTGCTCCTTAGAGACAAGGACGGTGAAGCTTCATCTCACATATAATTTGTGCATGTTGTTAGGAGAGGCTATTCCTTGGAGAGGGACATCATGCTTAGAAATGTGAAGGGCTAGCAAAAGAGAACAGCCCTCAGTGATTGGACTAATGCAGTAACTGTGGCAATGGACTCAAATGTGTCAGAGATGAAAAATATGACAGGATTTAAAACTGCTGTTCAGGTGAGGTCTGGTGGCCTAGTGGCAGGAAACTGCACTGTAATCCCAGAGGTGCACGGTTCAAATCCACCAGATGCTCTGCTGAAGGAGGAGGAACAATCGCCTCCTGTACCAGTCAGATCCAATTTGACGGTACACACATTAAAAAAAAAAAATGTCAACAATAAAAATTCTTTAAAAAAAAACACAAAACTGCTGTTCATAAGGTTGCTATGAGTCATACTCAACACAATGGCACCTAACAACAACATATCTCACATCAATTTTTTTTTAACATAAGGTGATAACACCAAGGACCTTGGTTGATATTTAATTATCTTCATCTTCTCACTAGATGACTGGCAGTTCCAAGTAACCCAGAAGCACTGCAGAAGAAAGCACAGGCAATCTGCTTCCATAAAGATTACAGTCAGAAAGGCCCTACAGAGCAGTTCTACTCTGTAACACATGGGAGTCACCATGGCTTTTTGGTACTACTGCCAATCCTTCTGCTCAAAAACAGATATAAATGAATGAAGAATTCAAATAAAGAGAGCTATAGATTTGAACTCTGTCCTCAAAAATATTTTTACATTTCTAGTTCTTGGATCTATGGATGTGATTCTGTTTAGACCCCGTCTTGTTATGTTGATGAAGTCTTGTTACTGTTGAGTGTCCTAGATTGAATAAATTCCGAGTTATGAAAAGAGCTGATCAGACCAAGACACAGGTAGGAAGAAAGATGCTATGTGACAATAATTTGAAGCCAAAGTAGCAAGGAACCTCCACCCACAATAATAATGAGTATTACCTGTGAATTATGTGTGGCCACTGCAATGGATTATTGGAAGAAAGAGCTTTGAAGGAGCAGGTGGTGTAAGAATTAACAAATCGAGGTGTGGGAACATGGGGGCATGTCTACTTTCACGGGAATTGGTTTTGTCCTGCTGGTGTTGTGGTTGTAGATTCTTCCCCCCCTGTGGAATTAGTAGAGGTCAGATGCTGTCACTCCCATGCCACCAAACTTACAACCTCCAGAACTGTTAGAAAATAAAAGTCACCCATTATTTTAGCACTAGCAGCTAAGGCAAACAGCAAATAAATAATGCTTACCAGCAGCTTTTCAAACATACAAATTAAATTCACATACCGAAGGATTTGATTTTAGGTGATAAAACACACAAAAAGCCTCTGTGGGGGAGAGATTTATAGAATCTGTGGTTCTACACCATTCATTCCACAGTTTAGCACAACCAATTTCTTCCCAGACGCCTGAGTTCATAACAAACGATGATATAAATGCTGTGAAAAAAATATGCCTATGTTAGTGCTTTATTATATAACTGCATATTATATTATGTAATTGCATATCTTTTCAATAAAAGGTAAGTTCACGTTCTAATAGAATTTTAACATTGAAAAGCTATTCAAGATAATCCACCTAACACTATCATTTTGCATAGATGGAACTGGAGCTCTTCAAGGTGTTAAATGTTACATTCTGGATGTGAGAGCTAGAAATGGAAAACAAGTTTACTGATGGACTTTTTATCCTATTCTAGTGGCACACACAACTGAAAAATGTAACCACTTTCAGTACATTTATTCTTCACTTATGAGCACTGTATTGCGGGCCAAAGATTATCCTCCAAAAGCTAGCTTTATGCAAAATTGGAAGATGATCACATCAATACATTACTGACAGATTACATCATTACACAAGAATCAAACTGTATCAATATATAACTGCCAAATTAATACAATTACGGTTAGCCAACCTGAAAAATAACTTTAACCACCACAGCAAAGGTTACTTTACTTTAACCTTTCACTTTTTACTTTCACCTTGATATTCATTAAAGCAAAACAATTGGAGAGTAGATTGCTGATGAGTTGTCAGATACTGTCAAGTGAGGTCTAACTCAGATCCTGAGTATCAAAGAACAAAACAGTACCCAATCCTTCCAATTTCACTTACCTACTGCATTATTCCCTATAGCAAGTATAAACTTGGAGCAAGGATACTTTTCTAGCAGGGAAACTTCCAAAGATGCTTTCGTCTGTCTTTGAAGAAGCTGTACTTGCCTAATACAAAAAGAAAAAATGAAACTAAAACTTTAAATAATCAGTATCATTTTAGAGAAAAAAGTATGGTTCTATAACAGGTAAAACATGAACTTGCGTTTTATGCTTACAATCTTAAAGAAACAAAGTGTTTCTGTGAAGATAACCAATCAATAAAGCCATTAGATGCAAAACACACTGCTAAGTCACCTGGCTCAAGGACCAATCTCAGAATTCTTACAAGTTGGAATGGCCAGGCATAGTGTGCATTAGTAAATATCATCTTAGTTTCTTAGTGCTACTATATCCGAAATACTTAAGGGATGCTTTTAACAAAAATTTATTTTTTCAGAGTCTTAACTTAAGGTACAGATTCTAGAGAAAGGCTTTCTCTGTGGGGTCTGGGAAGTCTGTGTCTCCAGCTTCTGCTTGGCTGTTTCTTAGATTGTCACTTTCTGTCATCTCCGCTTGCTTGCCTCAATCTGTCAGGTGATTTGCCTAAAACATACTCAACGCTATGAACTAAGGAATATAATAAAACTCTATTTCCAAACAGTAATATATCGTAAAGTTCAGAAATTCTTAATTTACAACACATATGGGAGGAATGGGGATTTAATCCACAGCACACACAAGGTATACTTTTGAAAGATTCTTGTTCATATAAATATTCTGTGTGGATCTAAGCCTCTAGAGCAAACATTCATTGTATAGGAAATGCAGAAGATGGATGGCACTGTTGTCAATCCAGACTCAAGGAAATTCCATGTATAATGGGATAGGTCTCTATGATCCATAGTTTTTATTGTCTGATATTCAGATCACCTGGCCCTTCTGCCTGGTCTATTTTAGGTAAGGACATTTGGGGTAGAATTCTCACCTTCTATGTGAGAGACCCAGTTTCATTTTTCTCATAGCTAATGTACTTCATACACAGCCATCCATACGTGACAATGGAGGCTTCCATGTTGCTATGGAAAAGTTATCAGTGAAACTTTCAGACTATGACTAGGAAGAATGGCCTGGTGATCTAATCATGAAAATAAGCCAATAAAACCCTGATGGATTTAGTCTGATCTAAAACCACTGGAAGGGATGGTGCAGGATCAAGCAGATGGATGTCGTTGTTGGGTGTCGTCAAGTCAACTACAACTCAAAACTACCATGTCAACAACACATCTGAAACTTGCCCTATCCCTCACCATCATTAAGCTCTCCGTTATGCTCAAGCCCATTGTGGTAGTCACTGTGTCAATCCAGAGAATGGATATACATGTTAAATGGCACTACGCGGAAGCAACAATTAGCAAGAAAAAAATGTCTGTATCACTTTCAATGCATTCTGAGGAATTTAAGTACAGCTGAAGGGGTCTGAGACTCCTTGAGGACACAGGGAAAATAAATATGACAAAATCTTAGTAACTGTTGAGTTATATGATTGTTTATGAGTGGTATTATACTTACAATGTCAATTCCACTATTTAGGTGTTAGAAATAATCTTTTAATCATCATGCTATCTGCTTTTGACAAAGGCAGCTAACTGAAGCATAAGGTGGTTGTTGTTATTGGGTGCCATCAAGTCAAGTACGATCTATGTGAACCTATGAACAACAGATCTGAACCCTGTCCTACTCTGTGCCATCCTCACACTTCCTGATACACTAGAGCCCATTGCAGCAGTCACCATGTCAATCGACCTAGCTGAGGGTCTTCCTTTCTTTTGCCAACCCTCTGCCTTTCCAAACATCATGTCCCTGTCCAAGGAATAGATCCTCCTAGCAATATGCTCAAATTATGAGGTGAAGCTTTATTTTTTTTATCCAAAAGTGTTTATTAAAATAATTCCCCCTTTCATCTTGATTCAGTGTGCTTTTCTTAAAGCTACTTCCATCTAAAGGAACATCCTTCTGTAAGCCTTGCTTTTCCTCGTGTTGGCTGACAGAGAACAGTGGAGCAGCCAACAAACAAAACTACCGTTTGTGGATGGCTGAAGACTGTGGTGATTTTATAACATCCTGGACATTTCACATCCATAAAACAGGAATTCCGGCTCTGCACCACATACTGCTTCTTGTGTTTCCTCTTCTCTGCTGAAGAGGGGTGAAGGAGATCCTTTGCCAGAGAGGTGAAGCTTTAAATGCTCTAACCAGCATTCTGGCTGCAAGACATATTTGTCTGTTCTTTCAGTAGACCATTGATGTTCAGTACTCTTCTCCAACTCACAGCTCAAAGGCATCAAATTCTTCTATGAGATGGGAGGGAAGGGGGGAATTTCTAAGAGAATTGGAGTAATGCTTACGAATCAAACATGACAAAAGCAGGACCTGACTGTAATTCTAGGAAAGCATCCAAGTGGAAAGATCACTCTACAAGTCCACAAAAAAGCAAGAACAAATCCACACTAAATGAAGCTTGAAGGAAATTTTTTAAAAGAACATACCTGAATCCAACCCTCCTAAGAGTTTCACTTACGATTCAGCTGCAACACTAGCAGAGCAAAGCTAATATCGCTTACACAAAACCTCTAGCACAGGCTCTGGGTATCCAAACTGGGTATCTGGGGTGCGCTGGGCAGCCTGGTGCACGGGCTGGCCGCACTCGGTTCATTCGAGTTACCTAGAACCGTTCACCCAAGATTAAAATTCTTGTCGAGGCCTGCAGGATGAGCATCTCCTGTCCGACGTGGAAGTCCCATGGTTCCCCATACTGCTTGCCTCACCTCTTCAGCATCAGCTGCCGCCGGACATCTCTGTCCTCTGGTGTCTCCCTCCTGGCCTCTTCTTCCTCCTCCTCATCTTCTGATCCAGCTCGGCAAGGAGCTCTCACTACCTCCCCGAAGAACGTGGCCGCCATCGCTGCTGACCAACTGCGGCGCAGCGTGATTACGCGCAAGCCTACGAGCCATACTTCCCGTCCCGTCCCATACCCGTGAGCCCCGCCCAGTACCCGTGCTCCCGCCCCGTGCCCGTGAGCCCCGCCCCCGATCCAACTAGGCTCCGCCCCCCGAAATCGTCCCACCTCTGCGTTCCACCATGTTCCTCTGGGCCTCGCTCCACTTCCTGAGAGGTGTCACTGAGCACTCCGCACACATTACCCTTTGCCTCGCTCCGTGTTTTCCAGCTGCACAGGCGCTCTGCTCCCTGTCCCCGCCTCGTCCCGTTTCTGCCGCCAAGCACGACCCACTGCGAGTCTTTTCTGTCTCTGCGTGCCTGAGCCCCGCCCCCAGCCTCTTTCCACACGCCTCTGCAGCCGGGAAACTTAGGTTGGGAGGTAGAGAGACTGGAAAGCTGTAGTCTGGAGGCGCCGGATGGGACTTCTCAACAGGTGACCAGAACGTGGAGCTCGGCCAAACCCTTTCTGCTTTTCTGTCCCTTTTCAATTCCAGTTTTTATCTCTGCTTGGAATGATAGGGAGAACTAAGATTTCATTTAGGCTTTGAACTTCCGCCCTGCAGGTGCCGGCTCCTTGGGCTTAGGTGCAGTTTCAGCCTTGCGCTAGGTGGCCATGATTTTTTTAAAAAAAAATTATATCCCTCATTTCATGTTATAAAGGATAAAAGAGTTATTTTCACAGATCAAAAGCTAGCCATTGTCAGGCTTAACTAAGCAATTTTAAAACATGGCTACTTCCAACCTATACAGATTTGCTTTGTTTGAAATAGCCTTTTATTGATAAGCAAAATATGTAGTTTCTTTGAAATATGCTGCAAGACAGAATTCACAGGACATTTATCAGAAGGGAAAGGGGGAATGTTGCAGTGAGAATAATTATTTTCCTTAAATTTATTGTGCCTGGAAAAGCCTAAACTGCTTTGTGGATCTTTCCATATAGTTACAAAGTATTTCCTTATTTCGGGAAAGGCAGATCCTCTTGGGGCAGGGGAACAGGTGAAGCATCTTGGAAAATTGCGATATTTTTTCCTATATTTAAGTTGCTTAGGAAGTCTTCCAAACTTTTAAGAGAAATGACAACCATGGATGTCAGCATTTGGGCATTTTACCTAACTACTGCAAATAAAAGACTGGAGGGTTTTGAAACGTAATAGGAACATTTACCTACAACTAAAACCAAATTGCTATCTAATAAGAGTTTTAAAAGTGTTGGACATTTTTAGTGGGACACTACATATATATATACACACACACACACACAATTACCATTTGATATTTTAAATGTTAGGACTCCTGGATTGATATATAGAATTCAAAATAAAAGATAGTTTGTGCATCATATGGTCTTAGTCCTTTTGTTGAATAAGTTGTAATTTTTAACAGTAAGATGCTCATTTTTATTTCACTGTTATTAAGAAACTTATTCAGGAAAACTGATTAAAATACTGTAAATAAAACTTAACTAACATTTAGTCATGATTTAAATTTTTTTCCAACATCCAGTTTTACAAGAATGTTAATTTTTAAACAAATCCTTGTTCTATGCAATAGTAATAGCCAAACAATATTTTTTAAAAAAATGTTTAAATACTAAACTAGAAAAGGGATTTCGTTATGAAAGATGAGGACTACACCCTCAAGTACTGACAAGAATTAATTCTGCAATAAATTATAAACTCAAAGTTTAAATTTTCTCATAAAATAATTTAAATGAGATAAACACTTTCATTGTATGGTTATTTGGGCTATAATACTAAGAAATTTTTGTGAAATAACGTGTAAATACAGTATTGGAATAGGTTTCAACATTGCAGAAGAGCTAAAAAAATCAAGCCTCATGCAACTAAAAATATTAGTTTATTAGGAATTGTATCCTTTTCACCCATACTTTTAACAAGATACTGGTATCAGTATTTCAGAAGAAATTATATTGCAGAGCAAAGAACACAGACTGTAGGCTGGAAGTATTCTGGCTATGCATTAAAAAAAAATTAAAGCCATTTCTTTTCAACAGACATGCAAACTACAAAACAAGTATCTCAAGTAATCTAAACACTTGGTCCATCTGTATAACAAAAAAATATGTATTAGTCTTTAATGAAAAAGGAATAAAAACTTTACTTTTTCAGACTGATACATGCAAATCATAAAATATTCACAGGTATTTTTAAGTGGGAAAACAACTTGCTAACAATTTTTTCCAGTAACATTACTATTTTAAGATTTGACAATACATTCATATCATCTGATCTTTAAATGAATACTTAACAATAAATTAAACCCATTGCAAAGAAATTCTTTTTATTATCATGACCAGATTTTCTAATCCTATTGAAGGCTATAAATAGCTCAGACATGCTGTCATCAGGGTGTGGCGATGGGACTTCTATAAATTTGCTCTGTTCATAAAAGTTCTGACTTGCAAGGTGCTAGTTTCCCCCAAAAAGAAACGTAAGAGGATTTCAATGTATCATCTAAAAATATTATACTTTATTCTAATTAAACTAAAATTTCCCTCTTTCTGAGGTACATTTTGGCATCTCTAGAAATGCTACGTGCAAGTACAAATAACGAAAACTAGAATCACATTCATAACTTTCCTAAAAAAATATATATTCCCTGAATTAGTCATATCAAGTGATCATTCAGTATGAATTTCAGTAAGACATTTATTTTTCTGTAACTGCTTATTTCTGACACTCAGAACTTGATAATCAACATCCCCAATGCTTAATCCTTCACTCCTAGTTTTACTTTGAGGGATGTAAAATTAAAGGGACTGAATCTAGCTTTAGGTATTAACTTCACTGGAAAATCAAGTAGGCTCAGTGGCACTTGCTGTTGAAATGTCTTAATTTCATAATCGTGTTCTAAATTACCATATTCTAATGTAGCATCAGTTTTCAGTTTGATATTTGGGGGATTTTTTTAGTCCTGGTGGTTTTTCCTATGTACCCTGTACATTTTTTTCTTCTTCTTCCTTTTAAGAAATTAAGTCATTTCTTCAAGACCCTAGCTTTCAGGAAAATGGGAATCATAGGCCATTTGTGATTTCTGTCTCTCCGACTGTATGGCTCCATAGCCTATTTCCTCCTCAGAATTCTCAGATGTACATTATCTGTTGGAAGAACTAGCTGGTAGGAAGCCTTCTTCCCACTCTGACCCACCAAATCACAGCTTTTGAGAAAATTCCTCAAAAGATGCCAACAAGGGATTTACTTTGGAACTAAACACAGAAAACTTCGTTTACTTGTGACCCCGATAGTTCTGAGATTCCTTGTCTACATTTTCAGTCACTATTGTGCTTTTCCTTTCCAAGATCTTTTTTTTTTAAGGGGGGGAGCATTTTGCTATTAGTATCTTCTAGCTTTTTCATGTTCAAAATGTATACTTGTATCATCATCTTTATAAACATTGAGTAATTTTTTCTTAGCCGCAGCAGAAGCATTTCGATGGGGCAGTTTTCTGCTACTCTTCCTAATCCAGACATTTTCTGATCCTGAAATCGTTTCTTTTACATTACTCATTATCTTTATTTTATTTGCAGCAACAGTAGCACATCTGCGGGGAACTTTCTCAGGTACCATATTTGCTCTCAGAGTTTCACTAGGCACTTGCACTGCATCCTTCTGATTATGCATACATGTTCTCATTTTTGTATTGGGTTCTCTGTCTCTAGGAACAGATTCTGAAAAATGAGTGAAAGTTCATGTAAATGCAAAAATTTTGTAACACCAGATTTACAACTACTTACATTCCTCAGTAATAGTCATGTTTCTAAGCAGTGAATTTTAAAACTTTGAAAATAAAAAACATAAGTGATAAGCATCAATGATATTAAACAATTTTGGCATTGATAAAAATCTTTCCATGTTTGCCAAAGGAAGTTTTAAGTAGAAGCTATCTGTCTACCAGCTGCCTTGTAGAACTGGGGCTAAGTGGCTTAAGCATCATCATATAGTAGCCAACAGTATTTTAAAGAGCTGGATTTTTTAATCTTGTGTATTAAACTACTTTTAAGATATTAATAGCTGTTTTCCTAAAACCTAAAAATACCTCCAAAATGCCATTAGGACTGATTGATAATATACCAACCAACCACTGTCAAAATCTTTGCTAGGTTTTAAATTCCAAGACAACTTACTCTATGCAAAAAGAAACCAACCAACTGGATACTAGTGTAAAAAACTGTACAATGGTTTAATGTCACAGAAATGTTTCAACCTTGATTCATTTTTCAAATATTTTTATGTAAGTGAAATTATTAATCCTGGTGTCACTGTTAATCACTTGTTTTCTGAGCTAGCTCTATAATTAGCTTTCAATTAGAAATACAGCTCCTGGCTTCACCAAGTTGAGAACTAAATCTGAAGGAGTAGTCAGACAACGAGGAAGGCAGGCAGGCAGGCAGGCTGGCTGGCCTTCTAGTAAAACCTGAGGTGGCTCAAGGAAAGTCTGACTTGAGATGGGATTGGAGTTGTGGAGAAAAGCCATGTTCACCAACAAAATTAAGTGGCCTTAAGTTTTTCACCAGTGTCTCAAAATTCATTTGTGTCTGTTTTGTCTAATTAGTAAGTGTATTCTTTAGTAGAAATTCACTTGAAATTCATAGACCTGTGATTTAGGCCATGCATGTTGGCAAGCTAGTCCTTCTTAAAATACACAGTCTACATAGGAGTGTGCTTATGTGACTTGGTTTTCAATCTTAAGGTAGGATAGGTTGTAGATCACAGAAATAATCACTACTGATATTTCCCAAATACTACTAATACTCCCTTTGCCAAGTACTAGAAAATAAGAAATTTTTATCAGATACCGCCAAGCCGAAAGACTTTGTCAGACTTAAGGTGTGCCTGCCTGATCCAAGCCACTGTGTATTTTCAAGTGCTTCCTGTGATGTGATAGTTGTACAATGAAGACGACCAGAGAATTGATGCCTCAGAATTGTGGTTTTGACTACTGCAGACTCCCAAAAGAACAGAAACAGATAAAGATACTTTGGCCATCTCATATACTTTTGGCATATTGTCAGAAGGGGCCAGCCTTTGGGAAAATGCATCATACAGGGGAAAGTGGAATGTCAGAGGAGTACCCTCAACAAGACGTACTAACCGACAATAAGCTTGAGCATGGCAGATATTCTGAGGATGGTGCAAGACAGGTTAAGGTTCAGACCTGTTCAAAATGGTACTCCAAGTCATAGTTGACTTGATGGCACTTAACTCTACCAACAAATTGCTAAGTTAACATTATTTTGTGAACTATCAGGTTGATAAAAGGGCAGATAATCGCAAATGAAAACCCATTCTGTGGTCTGCTATGTTAATAATGCAGAAGATACTTGGAAAGTCCTTTGCTTTCTACATGGAGTCACTGAAACTGTGCCTATGGTCTTTTCAATCGCTTGCCATGCATCTGAGAGCTGGACAGTGAATAAGGATGACAGAACTGTGTTGTGGCGTCACTGAAACTGTGCCTGACTATTGCCTTTTCAATCGCTTGTCATGCATTTGAGAGCTGGACAGTAAGGATGACAAAAGAACTGTGTTGTGGCCGTGGAAACTACTACTGAATATCCTACGAAATGGCCAAAAGAACAGATAGGTTTTAGGAAAAGTATTGCCAAAGTGTTCCTTGGAGGCAAAAATAGTAAAGCTTTGTCATCCATTAATTTGGGCATGTTGCTAGAAGCTATTCCTTGGAAAGGAACATCGTGCTTAGAAAGGTGGAGCATCAGTGACAGACAGACCCCCCCCTCAACCAGAATGGACTGAAACAGTGACTGCAGCAATGGGCTCAAGTGTGTTCAGAGATGATAAAGATGGCACAGGATAGGATAGGGTTCAGATCTACTGTTCACAAAATCACTATGAATTGTACTCAACTTGAGTACCTAACAAGATGTATTCTCCCAAAATACTTCAGGGGCTACTTGTCATCCTCACCTCAGCCCCTTTTGCCAATAATGCTGCTCTCATGCTTTTCCAGTACAATAAATAACCTGGCATTGAAAACCTTGCACTTTGGCAGGCCCAACTCTTCTCCTAAAGCTAATGTCCTTCATCTTTTCCAATGTGGGTTCTGCAGTTATAAGCACACGCGCACATGCGTGCATACACACACACAAATATGTGGTGGGGATTAGTTAAAAGTACAGTGTTCACTTCAGTTTTTTTCCTTAGGAATTTACAGTAGAGCCTGTGGAATTCAGAAATCTGTCAGAGAATTTAATTAAAAGAAAAATGTTAAGACTGCACCCTTTCAAAAGAAAAACTTTTCAGACCCAGGAAAACAAGGCATTTTTAGTTCACAAGTCTCAATGTATTATAGACTAAAATCTCTACAAATCAACCCTGTATCGAAAATCAATATAACAGGTTAGAATTCAAAAAATGGTAGGATATGATAGGAAATGTAAATGAAATATTATACTTGTAAATGTGTACCTAAAGCAAACGAAGTGAAATCTGTACTGTATGATAGGATGAAGCTATACTAGTGACTGCATCCATTTGCATGTTGAAAATGTTTAAAATAGACAATTACTTCATTCCCAGCAATATATCCAGATGTCAGGTAGCACCAAGTCAGCTACCACTCACAGCAACCTTCTGTAAAACAAGCCCTGTAAAACACAGCCCCATCTTGCATCTTCCTCACAACCCGTAATTTCTGCTATCAAGCCCACTGTTGCAAACACCAATTTGAATGGGACAGGTAACATCCTATTACAAAATATTTGTTAAAAAGCTAATGTAAATAGAAATTAAGGACAATCTTTTAATGCTCTGATGGAGGTACCTCTGTATTTGTGGTGTGCGGAGCCCATTCTGAACTGCCCCAGTTTCCTAGGCTTTATAACCTTCAAACCAGCAGATCGCCAGGTCTTTTCTCCGGAGGAGCTGCTGAAAGGTTTGAACCATTTCTCTTGGTAGCTGAGTGTTAAACTATTTTGCCAACTTATTCTGCAACCTAGTAAACATTCATATTTTAGTAAGAGCTTTTTTGTAATCTCTAACAAGGGTAAACGTAAAGATTCCGCTGAATAAACTAAGATCAAGTCTATAAAATAATTTCACAAAATTTTAACTTCAAATAAAGAACTATGTCAAAAGGTGAATATGGGTATATATTGTACACAACAGCAACATCAAGTCTTAGATCTTAAAATGATGATGACAAAAGAACATCCTGCAAACAGAAGTGACTCTAAGGAATTAAAAATTTAAAAAAAAAAACATACATGAAGTCAGTGATAATTTTATTACTGAGAACTTGGTAAATTATAAAGTGCTTTATTCTCCTTGAGAAAACTACAAACAATTTTTAGAAATATATACAGGATTAATTCAGGGCTAGAGAGAGAGAAGTCCAATTTATATGTTAGGGTACAAGCTTAAGAACTTTGGGGAATGCTAATCTAACAATACATTTGTGGTAGTGTCATTTAAAATAACAAATCCATACAATTCCATAAATCCTACTGTCCTACTACGGTGTCAGGCCAGTCACGTGTGTTGGATCAGTCAATACTTGAGGCATTGTTGTGTTCTTGTAAGTGATTACCTATTTGGGCACGGAAAAACACATCACTGGTGTAAAAATTTACAACTATAGCATTACTCCATGAGAATTTATGAGGATGAAAACTCATACACTAATGCATGTTCTAAGATGGTTTATTATGAATAGACTTGGGACATAAACATGACAGCTCTGATTTAAAGTATTAACCTGTAGCTCCTATTACCAAAGATTACTCATATTCCAATTATGGCACAAATTTTCTATAGCCAACTCCATCATTGCTAAATATATTTTTTAAAAAAGATCCATATTTTTAAGAAATTGGAATATTTAAAATTTTAGAATGGCAAGAGAGAAATGAATATGCTACTGAAAGTGGAAATATTCTAGCTAGTTTTATCTATTTTACTAACATTTGTTGTGATTGGTGGAGAAATCAGTTCCACCTTAATAGGTAAATGTAAACTTTTTAAAATAACCACACCAAGAAATTCTTCAGAACTTGTTTGCGATAACCGCTCATTTCTTGGTGCAATGAAAAATGACCAAAAATGAGAACTCAAATACAATTTGTCAATGACTTTGCCATGTCCAAAACAAGTTTTGAAAAGATCCCATCAATAAACATCTTTTGAGAATGGCTGTAAAATAAAGCCTGCTGAGTTTGTAAACAGTTTTCTATTATCTCCTAATGCTAACTGGTAACACTGGGAATTGCTAACTTCTACAGGACACCAGTAAGATTTTTCAGGAACAATTCTATAATCCTGATTTGGTCCCTAGTCACTGTTAGGATTGCATAGACTAATTTGTTTCACTTACATCTTCAATATACTATGATAGGCACACAGACTATGACTGATCTAGCTCATCACACTTCTGTTTATTCTCAACGCTAGAAAATAGTTAACTATGAGAACAAGAGTTCAATGAAATTAGATGACTCCTACATTAATTTTCCCAAATACTCTTAAAAGAACTATCTCGGAATAATAAAACTGAATGTAGGCAGAACTACAGGTATCACAGAATTAACAGGTTTTCAAATCTAGTTCACTCTGCTAATGACAACCAGGTTTCAGACAATCCTACGGCGACCCCTTTTCAAGCACATCTCATGACTCAAGGCATTCTCCCTTAACATACAAACAATTTTGAAGC